TAACCCAGTTTTTTACAAACAGAAAACCTAGGACTCTAATGCAGCCTCTGTTGGTCTTGGGACTCTAACCCAACTTCTGGGATATACTAAAAATCTTAAATATCAAAATCTGTTCTTCCAGCTTCAACATAAATTTGTCCAGAACAGTGGTCCAGGAGTGGGAATCACCAATGAATTGATCAATCAGTCAAGAGTGAAGACAAAAGCTTCAAAGGTGCACACCTAGGGGCCTGGCTAAGTGGCCTAGGGGTTCAGTGTTGGATCTGATCTTATCCATGTCATGGCACCATAACTATTAACGAAAAATAATACATGACCCTTGTAAAGTGGTAAGAGAAACTTCATTCAAGGGAAGACTATCATGATAAGTATAGGGACCATTGCTCAACTCTGAACACACAAGGAAAAAAGGAATTTTTTTTTTTAGCCAAGGAGCAGGGTGGGGTGGGAGAGTCAGTAGATGAGAAATTATTGAGAAAACGTCAGCATTAAAAGGAGGATTCTGGCTAAAGTGTCCTAACAGGATTTTTGTTGAAGGCACGCTAGGGTGATCAGCCATCATCTGAGGGGATAGTGCAGGATGAAGAACCTAATTAGATATTGAAGATAGTCAGATATCAAGGATGAGGGACTCTGGCTAAACTTACTTAGCAGGATTCTTGCAATCATTGACAATGCAGAGAAAAATACAGAAGCCTAAGAGTCAGAGCCTACTTGAGAAGACAGTTCAAAAGAGCCGAGTAGAACTTGGTCAAGGAGACAATCTGTCAGTAGGGCAAGGGAGTGTCATGTTAAAGATGAAACTACAGGTATAACTTTCTTGTCAAGAATATGAAAGATGAAATTCTGTTAATTAAAGATAAATGTCATTTATCTCTGTGTTGACACCACAGTTAACCCACGTGAAGTATAGTATAATGATTCCTAAGCTGCAGTAGCAATGGCAGAATGTTAGATGATCTTAGATGATCGAAGGCATAATGTATTTCAAAGATATCATAGAAGCTGTCCATATGTCACTAGATGGTGCATTATTCTGGGAAATAGCTTAATAGTTAAGTACACCTTCTCAAGAAAAAAATAGTATATGAAGTACAAGAGTATGAAAAAAAATCACAAAAGTGGTAAGAATGGGAAACAATGTAGTATCAGAAAAACTCCTATTTTATATACTTGGGGGTATATACTCAGAAAATTATACCTACAGAGGGCCAAAAGACATATGAAAAGTTGCTCAACATCTCTAATCAGCAGAGAAATACAGATCAAAACCCCAGTGAGATACCACCTCACACCTCTTAGAATGGCTATCATCAAAAAATCAACAAACAAGTAGTGTTGACAAGAATGTGGAGAAAAGGGTACCCTAGTGCACTGTTGGTGGGACTGCAGATTAGTATAGCCGCTATGGCAAAGAGTGTGGAATTTCATCAAAAAATTAAAAATGGAACTGTCTTTTAACCTGGCAATTCCACTTCTGGGAATATATCAGAACAAACTGAAACACTATTTGAAAGATTATATGCAACCTTATGTTCATTGCAGCATTAATTACCACACCTATACTATGGAACCAACCAAGTGCAAACCAGTACATGAGTGGAAAAAAAAGCCATGTACATATATATATATATATATATATATATATATATATACACACACACACACACACACACAATGGAGTACTATTCAGCCATAAAAAGAATAAATTTTTACCTATGTGACAGTATGATGGACCTAGAAGGTATTATGTTAAGTGAAATAAGTTAGAGAAAAAATACCACATTATATCACTTGTATATAGAATCTAAAGAACAAGATAAACAAAACTGAAGACTTATAGATACTGATAACTGTCAGTCAGTATCTGTCAGAGGGGAGGTGGTTAGAGGACTGGGTGAAAAGGGTGAAGGGATTAAGAACTGGTAGTCACAAAATAGTCACTGAGGTGTGGGTTGCAGCATTAAGAATATAATCATTAGTGTTGTGATGGCTATGTGTGGGGCCAAGTGGGTGCTTGGGGTATCAGAGGGACTGCTCTTTAGAGCATGTAATTTTCTAGCCACTGTGCTATACATCTGAAACTAGTGCAGAATGGTGTTGATTGTAAATTGTCATAGAAAAATAATAAATAAACAAACAAATAAATAATAAAACAGTGAGAAGGATGCATACCCAACTCAGTTCAGGGTAAAAGGAAAAAACGGGGAAGGGGCACAATAAGGACAATACAGCACAAATATTTCCTTTGTGGAAAAAAAAAGAAAAGCATCAGTAGTACCAGCTTGTCCCAGGTAGTCAGGAAACATTGTATGAAGGCCTGACTTATAAGACATCAGTTACGTTAAATACTTTTCTCTCTTTGGACCTATTTCATACTCAGTGCACGCGAGGAGGTGAACTAGCTCATCTCAAAGGCCCAAACAGCACTAAGAATTCTAATCTGTTCTCACTAATGGTCCTGGTTTATGCTTAATGCCTCACTTTCTATGTACCCAGTTAATAATCTTCTATGTATCTAATTAACAAACTGTCATTTTACTCACTGGTTCAGAATAAGGCAGGAAATTAAAAAGAAAATGGAAAAATATTGCTGAAATATGTACATTGAAATAACTGAGAATGTTCAGGGAAATAGCCTGTAGCATGAGGATCTGGAAGTAGTATAAAATAGTTCAGTAGTTATAATGAAGTTGGAAAAGGGAAAAAAAATCTCAGGTCATGAAGATCTTTTGTTGGCAGGCTGAAAAAAATGGTATTCATTATGAAGGGGATATTTTATGAATGTCCTGCAGCTCAGTTTTCCTGTAGCACATTCTCACCTACAAACTGAATTCACATGCTGCACTTTCTCTTTTCTGTTTTGTAGTGTCATTAATTATCAGAGGCCATATCAACAGTTACAGCTTTTGCAAAGGGAACCACCACAATGAATATAGTGATGGATTTTTAGATGCACTGGCATATTTAAATCTGATTATGTAACTTCATTATATATGAATGCACAACGTGAAGGGAAACATTCTATGTTACAATACCTGAATCACAAGAGCAGATAGGGCAGTGGATATAAGGCAAAAGGAAATGTAAATTATAGCTGGCTGGCCCCCAAATAATTAGGACAATAAGGGAAGAATAAACACAGGTCCAATGAGTTTTAAAGTACTGTATAAACAATGTGTCTTGAAAATGAATGGATCAAAAAATTGTGGTACATATACACAATGGAATTCTATGCAGCAGAGAGAAAGAAGGAGCTACTACCCTTTGCAACAACATGGATGGAACTGGAAAGCATTATGCTGAGTGAAATAGGCCAGGTGTTGAAAGACAAATACCATATGATCTCATCTTTAACAGGAAGCTAAACAACAAAACAAACAAGCAAGCAGAAAAAAAAAACAAAGACACTGAAATAGAGAACAAGGGGACAGTGACCAGAGGGGAGAGGGAAGGGAATTTAAGGGGAAAAAGGGGGAGGGATTTGGAGGAACAAATAGGAAGGACACAGGGACGAGATCTAAGGGGGGTGGAAATGGGAGGGAGGTGGGGAGCACGGGGAAGGGGAGGCTGGGATGGGAGAAATAGACAAAAAACTGTACTTGAAAAATAACTAAATAAATTTAAAAATTAAAAAAAAGAAAAAAGTTATTCAGATAATGACACACACACACAAAAAAGAAAACAATCACAGGCTTTGTCCCATTAAGACCCCCTAGGTGTCAATCTCAAAACACTCTAAAATGCATGTTCATGTTCAAAGATATTCCCCAGTTACTAGAATGGTACTGCCTTCGAACAGCTGAGCATGAAGGAAACCCCTAGGCAAACCAAGATATAGCCATTGATGGAATGGCATGTGGACAGGGTAAATCTCATCCATGCTGAATTCTGAATACCTGGGTGGGGGGAGCCAATATTATATAATGTGGAAAAGGGGAAAGGCCAATGTATGGGGGAGGCAAAAAGTTTACAGTTTGTGTAGAAAATAATACAATAGCTAATAAATAAATAATACAAGAATAAACATTGCCATTTCACATACATACAACTGTAAACCTACTTTTGCCCTCATTTTATTTGTTAGATTAAAGAATATGGTATCCTGAAGTGCTAGCCTTTTGTTTTTTTAAAGATTTTATTTATTTATTCTTTAGGAAGGTAAGGGAGGGAGGGAAACACCAGTGTGCGGTTGCCTCTTGCACACCCCCTACTGGGGACCTGGCCTGCAACCCAGATGGGAATGGAATCAGCAACCCTTTCATTATCAGGCCAGCACTCAACCACCAAGCCACACCAGCCAGGACAAGTGCTAGCCTTTTAAATGTACCTTTTCCTCTGCAAATTCTATATAGAAGTCTGTGTTTTCCCCTTTGCTTTGCTCTTCTCCCAGGGTTTGGCAGGCCCTGAGGCCTAATCTTTCCCTCTCTGGTTCTAAGGGTAAAACTGAGAATGCAGTGGTGCTTGTATTAAACAAAAATTTTTCACAGCTGAAAGCTTTTCTGAAGGAAGGGTTAAAATGCTACCTAGAAAGGACCAGGTCCTGCAGCACAAAGGCTGAACCAGCAGAGGCACGGCTTGGTGAAAATGATGACCATATCCTCTGTCCTGGAGTTGATGGGACGTTCTTGTAAACAGTTTGCAGAAGAAATATGTAAGTTGTTTTGAAAAAAAATTACATTGGCTATATAGATAAGGGGAGTGAGAAAAAATGAAGAAAAGCTAATTCTGGGATAAGTGCATAGTCCTTAAGAAAAACGTTTTTGCTCCTTTGGATTGGTGTTGGGCAAGAGTCTGGAAAGTTCATGTGTAAGCAAGAAGTCGGAGTCCATGTTGATCAGTGGTGCTTGGTTATTCTCTTTAGATAATGGGGGAAATAACCACCTGGAAATTAATTCAAAATTCAACATACATTCAGGAACGTAAGTAGCCTTTTGTTAGTTTTGCCTGCAGTTTTTAAATTTTAATTTTAATTAGTTTACATTATTATTTTGTATTAATTTTGGGTGTATAACATAATAGTTAGACAATCATATACTTTACAAAATGTTCCCCCTTATATTTCTAGTATCTACTTGGCACCGTACATATTTAATACAATATTATTGACTATATTCCCAATGCTGTACTTTATATTCCCAAGTCTTTCTGTAACCACCAGTTGTTAAATCTCTTCACCTTTCCCACCCAGTCCCCCAACCTCCTTCCTCTCTTGCTATGCACTGCTAACCTCTTGTTTCTTCCTTCTACCTTCCAGCTTGCTGTAATTTAATTTAGGATATCTCAGAATTTTCTCCTTGTCACTTGGTCACCAGCATACTTTTACCAGGGAATCTGAACATGGGTGAAATTTGGGCCTCCAGTGTGGGCAGGGATACAAAACATCCTTGACAAAGGCAAAGCAGAATGTTATATACCTAATAATGGGTGTTTTTAAAATAACAAGGTCCAAACTTTCACTAGGTATTTTAAAGAAGCACTTATGCCCAGAGTGCAGACCTCATTCATATTCTGACCTTTCCTAGTTTTTTTTCAGTTTGGAATCTCTGAAAGCTCCAATGTAGTCCCTAGACTTGCCCCAGTTGAACAAACTCAAAAAGTCTGGAGGCTTTGCTAGAAATAAATAAAATTTATTTAAGGGTTTTAGGGTTTGCAAACTGGAAACACTGCTGAGCTATAGCCAGAGTCTTCTGAGGAAAAAAGAAAAAAACAAAAAGAAAAGCTAATAGTTCTTATATTAAAAAGTACATGGTTGAGAGAAATCAGTCCTATATTATTAACCTCTGGATTGGTCCAATATGGTAATTCACTAGATGAACAGTGGTCTGAATACTGGATGTCATGTGGTCTGGATACATGAAAATTCTTTTCTTAATCCTTCAGGGGTTAATCAGAGGGTTACCTAGAGGTTTTATGTATATACAGGCATTGACACAGGACTGGAAAGTTCGTAACTTAAAGTTTGCAGCCTAGTTAAACAGAATGGAATAGTTTCCTCATACCCCAACCTACTTGAAGTTAGTAACTTAGCTTGACAATAGTGACTCCATTTTATTTCTTCACTCCATTCCTAATTTTCCCTTTTTGATCAGGATTTTTCTCTCTGAAAACATAATAGATCAAACAAAACATTTTAAGTCCTTGCTGCCAAGGTGACAATGCCTTTCTTGGGTTCATTATATCCCTGATATAATGAAGGGGGGGACATAAGCAAGAGACATGCTTGCAGTATATGAGTTTACGTTCAACTCAGTATTTGTGCCAATTTTCCCATTGAAACCTTAAGAAAAGCCCAATTAGGACATTATTATTATATATAAGCTTTAAAACAAGTCTCAGTCTTGAAAATAGGTCAGTTCAGTTAAATAGTTGTCTCTCATTTCAAGAGGTGATGATGCAGGTCGTTCCCAAAGTTAGGCCTATTGCTGTAAGCAATCAAGGTTTTTAGTAAGAGGCATCCCTATGTAAATGAGAAGATAAGCAATGGTTAATGACTGATGCAGACTATTATTCCAGTTTCTCATTTCTGAAGGCAGCCAGTTGAAAAGATTTCTAGGTGTCTGGGTTGAAGAATCTTCAAATGGAGTAGAGGGAGAAAGTGACAATGTGACAGATTGCAGATTGATTGTCCCTGGTGATTTTTTCTGCAACAGGCACTGAGATTGTCCATATATGAGGTGTTGTGATTTCTCTGAAGTTTATATTAAGTTGTCCCACTTTATCTTGCACGGTTTTTGGAAAAGTACATTTTTAATTCTCATGATCTTAAGTCAGAAGGGTGGGAGAAAAATTGAAAATGTTAGTTTGGAGAGTCAACCAGATTCTGTAGGAGACAAACATAATTCTGGATCCAGTCCAATTTACAGGTAGGAAAAAAAACCCTCAAAAGATAATGAACAATACTAGAATATAATACTCAATAAGGTATATTACTGACACATATTTTGTTCCAAAATCACCCTTATTTTTTTTTTTACAAAAGATAGCCAAATTAAAATTAAGGTGTTTTGTTTCCAAAATAGGTCTCTTTTTAATAAACTTCTGCTATTTACATAGAAGCAGCAAAATTAGTACTTACAGATTTTTAAAAATCTGCTTTGCTGGAATTTTTCATGAAGTATCCTCATATTGAATTTTAAAAGGCCTCTTAAGGCCAAAAAAGTCAAGGCAAGGACTTGCCGTTAGACTTTACCTGCAATACCTATAAATTTGGGTGAGTTCTTTTCCTTGGTCCCAAAGTATCTTGAGTTTCCTGTACCTGCTAGGAAGTAAGCCTTTTTCACTCACCTAGTAAGGCTGCTAGGGACCCTGTAAGGAAGATACCAGGCTGATATTTGCAAGGGTTTTACTTGCCTACATACATCAAACCTAGTTCCTTACAGCTCTTTGGTCATATCTGAGTCTATGCACAGCTCTTTTAAATATGACATTCCAGTTAAAGCCTTTGTAATAGAACCAGTTTCCAATCATGTCTTGTTACAAGGAAAACAGATTCTTATTGAACTTATGCAAATAATAACATTGCCATGAAAGTAAGAATACTCACATAGAGTTTCTGGATTTTGGAGTAATCAAATAAGGAGAAAACTATAAATGTTTCAATTCTGCTCACAAAGGTATAATTTACCAAATTGTTCTAAGTCATAGGTAGCTTAAGAGAAAGGGTTTTCTTATATCTGGAAAATAAAAGATTAGAGAATCAGTAATATTTCAAACAAAATTCAAAGAAATTATAATCCTTCTTATCAGTTCTTTCAGCCCCTTGTTATTAATTTTTGTTACTCTTGATCTTTTTGTTAACAACACTTTATAAATCCAGTTTTTGCACTAGTTCTCTTAACCATGCCTGGTGATTGAAGGTGTTATGGCTAGTGACAGATAATTTCAGAAGTGTTCAAGGCTTACCATCAAGGTTTGATTTGCTTAGTAAACTGGATGCCTCAAACACTAGAGATTGTGGAAGACGTACCCCAACTAAGAAACACATTTTCTAACAGCCTCTTTGCCACTGTGAGTGCACTAGCCTTTTTGGCAGGGCGAGGCTTCAGCCCATCTAGAAAACATACATGCAACAAGAACATATCAATAACCCATGAGTAGCAGTTAAATGAAGGTCATCGTAAATGCACTAGGGAAAATGAGTGCAAAAAACCCCCCACCAAAAACAAACAAATAAACAAACAACAAAAAAAGGGCTTTGGCCAGGGAAGCATGAAGAACAAAGTAGCTGTCTTGTTTTTTTCCATAATCCTATTTGTTTAGTTTACAAACTGTTTACCCATCTCAGTTTCTCTCATTTAGGAGCAGACTGTTGACAAGTTAAAAAAGGCAATTCAAGTTGGACACTTAGGGATCATTTTTCCTGAAGCAAAATAGACTTCATCCACATGTGCCACAAACTTTATAGATTTTGTTGCTGCTGCCTTTACATGAAAGTTAGGGCATTTCCTTGATGCTCAGATTCAGTTCTTTTAGTGTAAGCCTCTTTTTTAAGACAGACATCTTATGCAAGAACATATCAGACTTCCAGGAATTTCACACATTTTCTGGAACATTCATATACCTATATAGATACAACATACATATAGGCTTAATATATGAATATAGATTATTATGAAACAATGCTTAATACATTGACCAAGTAATAATAAAATATTTCAAAGACAACTACAAAAGGTTAGCTCTTACTATTGACATGATTCAGTTTTATTAAGTAATCAAAGACCTGACTAAAATGATATAAAACTCTGAAACAGATTTTGATAGAACAGAGAACCATTGCTTTCTTGGCAGAAAGCTTTTCACAATATCTAATTAGGAGCAGTCCAAAAAAGAGCTTTGTTATTCTAGAAGGTGAAATGGTATGCTCACCACTTCTATTAATATTTTTGTTAATAGAAGTTAGAATATGTTACTTCTAAACATATTAATAGAAGTCCTAGCCACAGCAATTAAGCAAATATGTATTATTCAAATTGTGAAAAAAGAAGTGTCCCTGTTTGCAGATGACATGATCTTACATGTAGAAAATCCTAAAGACCCTACCAAAGAAATTTTTAAACTTAATAAACAAATTCAGTAATATTGATGGATACAAAATCAACATACCAAAGTCATACAAATCTCGTTTTTATACAGTAACAATGAACTATCTGAAAAAGGAATTAAGAAAACAGCGCCATCTACAGTAGCATCAAAAAAGAGGAATAAACTTAACCAAGACAGTGAAAGATCTGTACAGTGAAAACTGTAAAACAGTGATGAAAGAAATTGGTAAAGGCACAAATAAATAAAAAGTATCCTATATTATTGGAGTGAAAAAATTAATATTATTAAAATGTTCATACTACCCAAATGATCTACAGATTCAATGCAACCCCTATCAAAATCCCATGGTATTTTCGCAGAAATATAATAAACAATCCTAAAATTAATATGGAAATAGAAAATGCCCCAAATAGCTCTAACAATTTTGAAGAAGAGAAAAGCCAGAGGATCACTCTCTGATTTTTAACTATATTACAAAGCTACAGTCATCAAAAGAGTATAGTATTGCCATAAAAACAGGCACATAGATGAAACTGAATAGAGAACACAGAAATAAGCCCATGCATATATGACCAACTACTTCTTACTAAGGTGCCAAAAATACACAATGGAGAAAGACAGTCTTTTTAATACATTTTGGAGAAATGAGATATCTACATACAAAGAATAAAATTTGACACATATTAAACTATACATAAAAATCAAATAAAAATGGATTAAAACGTAAACATAATACCTACGAACATAAAATTACTAGGAAAACAGATAAGTAGAAAATTGTTTTTGACATCCCTCTTGGCAATGTTTTTTTAAATAAAATACAAAAAGCAGACACAACAAAAGCAAAAACGAACAAGTGGGACTATACAAAATTTAAAATGAAACAATATAGCAAATGAAACAATCAATAAAAAATGAAAAGAGCACCCACAGAATGAAAATATTTGTATGCTATATAAATAATAGGGATTAATATTCAAAATATATAAGAAACTTTTAAACTCAATATAATTGCCATCACCATCATCCAATTGAAAAATGGGAAACACACCTGAGAAGACATTTTTCCCAAAGACATAAAAATGACCAACATGTATATGAAAAAATGTTCAACATCAATAATCATCAGAGAACTATATATCAAAAGCACAATGAGATATCACCTCTCATCAGGTAGAATGCCTATAACAAAAAGACAAAATTTAATAAGTATTGATGAGATTGTGGAGAAAAGGGAACCCATATACACCATTGATGGAAATGTATACTGATACAGCCATTTCAGAAAATGGTATGCAGTTTCCTTAAAAATTGAAAAAATAGAATCCCTTTTGATCTAGCAATCTCATTTCTGGACATATCTCTAGACAAAATAAAATCACTATTGTGAAGTGATATCTGCACTTCCATCTTCATTGTAGCAATATTTATATTAGCAAAAATATTGAAACAACCTAAATATACAATGATGAATAAATATACAAATAACATGTGACTATATATGTGTATATACATATAAAATATTGTTAACCCATGAGAAAGAACAAAATCCTGCCATTTACAACAACACAAAAGAAACTGGAGGACATTATACCAAATGATAGAAGCCAGACTCTGAAAGACAAATATTGTATGATCTCTCTTATATGTGGAAAGGATGATTTTAGTTATGTATATAGTAACAAGAGAGTAGACTATTGATCATCAGTGGATAAGTTGTCGGGGGGAAAGGAAGATGAAAAAAATTAGAATGGTAGTTTGCCTGAGTCTAGGTAGATGGAACCAGGAACAGTTAGTACTGAATGAATACAGAGTTTCAGTTTTGCAAGATGCAAGTTTCTGCAGATAAATGGTGGTGATGGTTGCACGACCATATGAAATTTAGTATTATTTATCTGTAACTAAAAGATAGTTAAGATAGTAAGTTCTATGTTATGAGTATTTTACCACAATAACAAAATGTAACTATGTGAAGTGATTGATGTTAATTAACTTGATTTTGATAATCATATCAAGTGTATACATACATATATTTAATAATCATAAATATATACATTTTGTCACTGTACCTCAATAAAGCTGGAAAAAACTAAAAAGTATATTTTAAAGAAGGTGTTCTTTGAAGACATCAATAAAATTGATAAGCCTCTAGCCAGGCTAAATCAAGAAAAAAGGAAAGAGGACACAAATAACTAATACTAGAAATGAAAGGGAGGAAATCACTACAGATCCCACAGATATTAAATAGATAATAAAGGAATACTATGAACAACTCTACTCACACAAATGTGATAAATGAAATGGACCAATTTCTGGAAAGGTGCTATTTGCCAAAATTCACACAAAAATAAATAGACAATCTGAGTTGGCCTATATCCATTAAAGAAATTGAAATGATAATAATCTTCCAAAAGAGAAAGCACCATGTCCAGGTTAGCTCATTGGTGAAGTCTACAAAATTTTTAAGAAAGGAATTACATCATTTTTCCAAAAGCAGAATACTTCCCAACTCACTCTACAAGGGCAGCACTACTCTAATACAAAAAGCAGACAATGACATTATCAGAAAAATAAAATTACAGAATAATATCTCTTGTAAACATGATGCAAAAATCTTCAACAAAATATAAGCAAATTGAATCCAATATATATTAAAACATTTACACCAAAATCAAGTGGCATATATCCCAGATATTTAAGTTGGTTTAACATTCGAAAATAATTAATGTAACCCATTATGTCAACAGGCTGAAGAAAAACATGTATGTTCATATCAATAAATGCAAAGATAAAGCATTTTACAGAGTCTAGCACTCATTGGGAATGATAGATCTTCTCAATAAACTAGGAAGAGAAATTTCCACAACTTGATAATGAATATCTATAAAAACAGGCAGCTAACATCTTGCTTAATGGTAAGACATTCAAAGCTTACCCGCTGGTATTAGGTTGTCCCCTGTCACTACTCCTTGTTAACACTGTACTGGGAAGTACTAGCTAATGTACTAAGACAAGAAAAAAAATAAAAGGTATATTATTTGGAATGAATACATAAAGCTGTCTTTGTCTGCAGATGACTTAATAATATATGCTGAAAATCTAAGAAAATTGACAATAAAATCCATCTGGAACTAAAGTGATTATAGCAAGGTTGCAGGGTACAAGGTTAATATACAAAAATCAATTGCTTTCCTATCTATACCAGCATTGAACATGTGGATTTTAAATTAAAAACAATACCATTTACAATGCAGTAAAATAAATAAAATACTTAGGTATAAATCTAACAAACTATGTCCAAAGTCTGTATGAGGTAAACTACAAAATTCTAATAAAATCCAAGAACTAAATAAATGGAGAAATATTCCATGCTTGTGGACAGAAAGACTCAGTATTGTCAGGATGTCAGTTATTTTTAACTTGATGTATTATAGTCTCAATGAAATCCCAATAAAAATCCCAGGCAGTTATTTTATGAATACAAACAAACTGATTCTAAACTTTGTAAAGGAGAAGCATGATACCCAGTGTAGCCAACACAATTTTGAAGAAAAACAAAGCTGAAAGACTGATGCAACCTGGCTTCAAAACTTAAAATAAAGCTACAGTAATCAAGATAGTGTGATAT